CTTTCCTTTTGGATAAAAGAAAAGTCGGTGGCGACTCTTGCTAACCGCAACATTTGCGATAAAATGCAAAACCCTCAAGTCAGTTCTCCCACTGTATCACATATACCTCGAGCATATCCTCGATCTCGTCGCTGAAGATTATATTCATCATCCGCTGGTATGTTGCCCCTACGTTTTTCAGGCTGAAGGGCATTACATTGTAGTAGTAATTGCCCGAGCTGGTCATGAAAGCAGTGTAATGCTTGTCAGTCATCGCCATTGGGATTTGGTTATAGCTCGAGTAGGCGTCTATAAACGATAAAATTTTATAGTCGGCCGAATTATCTACCAACATGTCATTATTAGGCAAAAGAAAAAACGTCTCTGGGACATGTCTGGTTAAGATCAGTATAGTCAACACATATTCTCCATTTTCCATTATTTTTCTTAACAAGTACAACATTTGAGAGCCATGTTGAATACCGAGCCTCATAAATAAAATTAGCCTCTAGGAGGTCTTTTACATCATTTTCAGCAGCCTCTGCTTTCTCAGGAGGCTGCCTACGTCTATGTTATACTACTTCCATAATGGCTGGATTAATGGCTAAGTGGTGACAGGCGACCTCGGGGTTGAGTCCGGGCATCTCCGCGGTGCTCCACGCGAACAATTATGCATTCTCCCTCAAGCAAGCTTTGATATGCTTCCTCGCCAAGTTGGGGAGTCTGATGTCGATCTTCACGCCTTTGTGAGGGTCTTCACCGAGGGGGACAAACTCGAAGTCTCCTTCCGGGATTAGTCGGAGGAGTTCCTGTTCGCCATTGGGGGCTTCATCCTTGTCGATGCGGGTGTCGAGCGAGATGGAGTCGACCTTGGGTGGAGCCTTTTGTTCTCCTGTCTTGACAGGATGTGGCTCAGGTCGAGCAATAGCAACTCTCTTGGCAGGTCATGCCCCGGTGTCGACTGTACTCTATCCCTTAGAAGCCGTGTTAAAACATCTTCGGGCAGTTGAGATATCGTCGTGGATGGTGGTGATGCGTCCCCTCTTCGTGTAGAATTTCATCTTTAGATGGACGGTGGAGGGAACAATGGTCAATTCGACCAGTGTCGGTCTCCCTAGGATGCAGTTGTAGAGAGACAGGCAGTCGATGACCAGAAATCGTACCTTGATCTGCCGGGTTGCTGTTTCCTCTTTGAAGGTGACGAAAAGTTCAATGTACCCCCATGATTTAAAGGTCGAGCCATTGAAGCCTTACAGGCCTGACCCCACGTATGGTGAAAGGTGGGTTTCGTTGAGCTGTAAGGTTGAGAATAAATGGCTGTATATAACATCGACGGAACTCCCCTCGTCGACCAAGACGCGATGAACATCAAAATTAGCCATTCTTGCCCTCACCAGGAGAGGGATGCTCGAATTAGGGGTCCCTTCGGGCAACTCTTCGAGGTATAATGTGATTGGTTCTGATCTTCCCCTGACCTTCTCGAATGTCACCGCTTGAGTTTTGGCTACATCGACCAACTCATAGAGCTTTCTTTTTGCGGAGTTTATGGAGATGTCGTTGAACCCCTCACCAGTTATAACCATGGCGGAGGGGAATTTCTCCCACTTGTTGTGCATGGATAGAGGTTCTTCCTCATATCTGTTGGGGACGTAGAAGTCCTCTGGCCTTGTAACGGAGAAAGCTATCTGGATGGGGGCCGATTCATCTGATGGTCGGGTTTCTTCCTCGGCTTCTCTTACCTCGCGGGCCTCCTGATGAGGGGTGCCATTACATCGGTACTACCCAAGTCTACCACCCTTGATGAGGGTTTCAATGGCGTCTTTAAGGTGGACGCAATCTTCAGTCAGATGCCCGTGGCTCCGGTGGTACTGTCAATATTTTCTCCTGTCAGCCCTGGGCTTCACGGGAGTAGATTGAGGACGTCTGACTTCACTGTTCTTGAAGTCGGTGTTGGAGCACTCTACCAGGATCTGCTCGCGATAAGCGGTCAGCAGAGTGTATTTGGTGAATCTCCCCGCGGCCCCCATGTGCTCGCGGGGATCACGGGGCTTGTCGTCCCTTCTCTTCTCGCCCATTCATCGAAGAGGGCTTGCGTTCTGGTGTCGCAGGGTGCTGGTTAGTCCGTGATTCCTTGAGTCACGGGCTTTATTGGCCGCTTCCCTCTCTTCATAGTCCATATAGGCCCTAGCCTTTTCGAGGAGAGCATCGAATGTCTAGGGTGGTTCGATGCTAATAACCTTCCTGAACTCTGTGCCCGGGAGGAGTCCTCTCTCGAGCAGATATCGTTTCATGTGATCGGTACAGAGGACCTGAATGGCCTCGCGGTTGAACCGATCTATGAACTCCCTGAGGGTCTCATCGCTTCTTTGAATGATAGCTTCAAGAGAGGCCCCAGTCTTCAGATGTTGACAAGAGGCTGTGAAAGAGCTGATGAACTGGTTCTTTAGGTTTCTCCAAGAGGTGATCGACCCTGGGGTGATGTTCTTATACCAGTCTATCGCAGTCTTTTTCAAGGTCGTGGGGAACAACCGACATTTGATCGGTCCCGTGACGTTATGATAGTGGATCATTACCTCGAACCCGTCGATGTGGTCGACTGGGTCAGCAATGCCGTCATACTCCTTCTGTTGGGGAGGCTTCTCCATTCCCTTGGGAATGGGTGCCTCCATGATTGCTTGTGATAAAGGACCGCGGGGGTCATCTTCGTCGCTCCTGTAGGGGGAGTAGGAAAGAGAACGGTTGTAGTGGCGGTCGTAGTGATGTCCTTGGCCTCAGGGAGGATCCCTTGGTCGAGGATGCGCTTCTATGTTGCCCTGTTTATGTTTTCAGGGGGTCGTTGTTCCTTGCGTGCGCGCATGGTGGGGGAGGGGTGATGACGTGTCTCCCGGTAGCCTCGGGCATGGTTCTCTCTAGCGCGGGGCGTCGGCCAGTCCGCCAGGGAGAAAGGCTTCGCGACCTGTCCCGTCAGTATCTTCGCGGGTGAGATTGAAGACGGTCTTTGTCCTGAAGAGGAGGTGGAGAGTCAGGTCTTCTATGTCTTCTAGGGGATCTAAGAGAGTCTTCGAGTGCCCTTAATCACTCACCTTGCGATAAGATCATGTAATTCGTCTGGTTAATGGCCACAAATAGGGACCTGGTCGTGGCATCAGCACTCGAAGGGACGGGGACCTCCTGGAAAATGTTCGACTCGTAGTTCTGGGGAGGATGGGTGCCCTCATGTGGTCGAGAGCGGGATGAGGAATAGGCGATCATGAAGTCTCTATAATTCTGCACGAGACCGACCATGTCGACGTCGTTCCTGTTGTTATTGTTGTTGCCCACGTTGTCGACGACATTGTTGTTGGCGTCAGCGAGATGGGCGTCTATGTTGTTGTTGGCAGTTGGGTCGGCCATGACAATCAAAAGAGTTTGAAGAATTGCTTTAGTCTCAGGTTAGTGAAAGACGGGGAAGCTTGTTTCCCATAGACGACGCCACTGGTCGTACCTGACCAGAGTGGATCGTCAAGGCCTGCGAGCTATGAGTTGAGCATCAATTGGAAGTGAGTTGGGGGATACCTGCAAGACACACCGATGCCAAAGTAAGATTCAGAGCAGTGCGAGCAAGTATGAGAGTGAGTATGAAAGAGTGAATACTTGACCCTCTCAAGAGAGAGGATATTTATAGCCTTCAGCGCTAGGCAAGGGTCCCCATCGTTGGGCTGAACAAGCAGGCCAAACGGAGACTGCCAGATTCTACGTGCGTAGTAGGGCCAGTACATGGTCCCCAACCTGGATGGATTCCCTCGAATAGTCAGAAGGATATGGATGCGGTCTTTTAGGGACCAAGAATACTCAGTGATATTTGGGGGTGTAGTGAGTCAACCCTATGAGGAGGGTGTTCATGACGCCTTTGTGTCGTCGTGGTCCCTCCCTGCCAGTTGTGAGGTTGTCTAGGAGGCTTGCCTTGGTCGACGAGAGGAGTGAAGGATGCTCGCGAGGTCCTTCTGACCGACGACAAACCTCCTCATGATTCCTGAACTTATCCCCGTACGGAGAAGCCGTGTCTTTCTGACAGGTGAAGTTACTGCCCGACATAGTTGAGGACATGCTCGATCAGCGGACCTACTCGAACAACATAGTTGAATTAGACCTAGTATGAAGTTGAACCAAATACAGACTCAGTTCACAATAATAACATTTTAAGTTAAAATTTATAATATATTATCTACAATTTACTAATTTGTGGCAAAATAAATTAAATAATATATTTTTATACAAACAAGTAGTCATAATTAAATTACAATTAATTTTTTTTAAAGAATTTGAATTATGAAAAATAATACATTAGTCCACAATATAAACTTTTATAAGGAAACTAATTTTTCACTTTACTTAAAACACTAAAAGATGTCAAGAAGAATCTTAAATATCAAATTTCTTTAATAAAACAAATTTAAAAAATAAAGAAAAACAATTCCTTACATTTCTTCTTATCCAATTCAATTCCAAATTTATTTGAAACGACATCTGCACAAATATTCTTATACCAATTTCATTACATCATTAAAATATCAATTGGATTTTTTTGACCAATATATTATACCTATCTATTTTTTGAACCAATATTCTAGTTTCTTATTTAAATATCACATTTTGTATTCAATTATAGAAATACCATAAATACAAATAAATTTCTTACAATAATATTTTCATTAAAACATGCTTTTAAAATAAAATATAACAAATTAAAAAAATAAAATAAAATAAATAAATATGACAATGATGTATATTATTGTCATGATGCACACCCTAAAACAAAAACCTTATTATCAACACTTTCTGAAAAGTCAATTTGTTCCCTCAAATTTTTATTCTGAGAGGTTCTTTCCTCATTTATTTATTTTATAAAAAAAAGAAAGAAAAAAACAAGTTGAAATGTAACCATCTACGCACATAGAATAATAATTGATTTGAAATTCACCCACCAACCCATTTAATTAATTTCCATTGAATATCCCATTATCCCATAAAATAATAAATATAAATACCCAATCGTAGTTCCAATTTCAAATATCTCGGAGCAGAAAGACAGAGAGAAAAAAAACACAGAGCGAAACGGTGTCGTCTTACCCACGTGGATCGCGCCGGTAATAATTCTGTTACAACCGGCTATATCAAGTAACCCTTCAAGACAGAAAATAAATAAAAGAAAAAAAGTGGGACGGTACGGTCCATTGGGATTCACTTTCTACCGTCCGTCTTCGACTATAAATATAACCTTTCTTTCACTTGCTCATTTTTTCCTTTCCCCTACTAATTTTTTTTCTGCCAATTTTTTCTTCTTACAACTTTCCGGCGAAATCGCCGGCAAACCACCGTCGTTTACGCCGGGAGATCTCACTGCGCGCTACTTTCTCAATCTTCCTTCAGGTAATCTCACTTTGATACTTGTTCTTTTTCTCAGCATCGTTTACTTCCTTTCGTTTTATCAGATCTGTGTGTTTTTCTACGTGCTTATGAATTAGCGCTGGTTTTTACATTGCAGAAGTCATGATTTTATTTTTTATGCAAGTTTTTCTCGATTTTGTTGTTGTTTTGTGGCGTGGTGGTGATAGTTATATATTTGGATGTTATTTTCTATGGATCTTGATCTGTTACTTGTTTCGTGAGCAATGTACTGAGAAGAGTTTTTAGGTTTTACTTTCAGAGTTTTCTTCATATTTCTAGAGCCCAATAATTAATACGGGTTTATGTAAATATGTAATAGTGTTTTAATGGTTCTGATACTCGTGAGTGTGACTTGTGTCCGTGCCGTTACTGGTTATGTGATTTTGTCTTATTAAAGATTTAGTTTTTTTTTTTTTTTTTAAATTTTTGGTTGCTTTTTTGGTTGTTTTGTAAAATGTTTGTTGAAAATTTGCATTTAACATTGGATCTTACTTTTTTCTCTCTCTTTTTGATTGTAGTTGAAAGATCTATTTCACTTAAAGTCATTTGATTACTTGGAAAAATGGACGTGCCTGGTGGAATAAGGAAAATCAGCTCTCACTGTTCGATCGCTGAGATTGATGACTTTGATCTCTCTCGTTTGCTTGATAAGCCGAGGCTAAACATAGAGAGACAGAGATCGTTTGACGAGAGGTCGCTCAGTGAACTGTCTGTTGGTTTTGCAAGGGCTGGATTGGATAACTATGACAATTGCTCGCCTGGAGGAAGATCTGGTTTTAATACGCCAGCTTCATCTACTCGGAACTCGTTTGAGCCTCATCCAATGGTTGCCGATGCCTGGGAATCTCTTCGAAAATCTCTTGTCTATTTCAAAGGCCAACCTGTGGGAACAATTGCTGCTGTTGATCATCAATCAGAGGAAGTTCTAAATTATGACCAGGTGAATTTCTTAATAAGTACTTAAATTCAATATTCCAATATGTACTCTAATTTTCAACCATGTCCAGTGTTATCAAATTGCGGCTATAGCGGCGCTATGGTGGATATTCATGTCGGTTTTTGGGCTCACCCACAATGGTAAATATCGACCGATATTGCGGGTTTTTCCGCCATAACGGCGCTGCAAAGTGGCCGGTATGGCGGGATTTTGGCTATCTGCCATGGACCACTATCTGCCATCGACAGTACTGACTATGTCAGTCGTTGAAGCTTTATTCGTCTAATCAAGCTGCAATAAATTAAGCTGTCCTGAATATGCTTCCTAGTTTGGATATAATTTTACTCTATACTTGTAAATTGGTTATGACGTATATTATGTATGATTTACATTTATTACTAAAGGTTTTCATATGCCACGTGAACCTGAAATTCTATATAAAATAAGTGTCTTATGAAATTCTATCATACAATTTGTGGTAACTCACAATATATTATCAATTCGTTCTGAGTTCTGACTTTAGTATTACCCAAAAGTTTCGACATAATGGTTCTAATAATACTACTTAAAACGTATAACAGGTGATCAGATATATATTTGATTTGTGATCAGATATATATTTGATTTGTGATCAGATATATATTTGATTTTCACTGAATCATTATGTTTAAAATATGCTGAGATCCCTTCATTTCCAAGGATTTAGAAATGAATATTGTATCTGGGTGTTTGATTATTCAGGGGAATCTTTCCTTTAATAAACAACATAGCTTCCGTCACGGTTTAAAGATAACATCTTAGATTAGTGCTAGTGAAAATTCTGCTCAGCAAAGAACAAAACGGACAATAGAAAACTCAAACATGATAAATAAACTCAACCACAACTGTGATAATGATTTATTAAAAGATATCCTTATATGACATGACAACAGTTTTTGGCGCGGTTAGTTCTCAATAGCCTTAATTTCCTGGATGTGTTAACTTTTCTTTTTTGCCCGTCTTGCAGTTACTTTTGACATGCCTTGTGTGTATATGGTTAAACTTGTACCATATATTTTCATCTAGTGAATAATTATTGATTTTGAGAAGAAGCTCTGCAGTTGTGTTCATTGTTGCCTACACAAAGCAGTGGACTTAATCTTTATACTTTTACAGTGATGGAGAACATCTAAGAATGAGTATGATATCTGACGATGAAGTTATCCTTTTCAGGTTTTTGTTCGAGATTTTGTTCCAAGTGCTCTAGCCTTTTTGATGAATGGTGAACCAGAAATAGTGAAGAACTTCTTATTGAAGACACTGCATCTTCAAGGGTGGGAAAAAAGAGTAGACCGATTTAAGCTTGGGGAGGGTGTGATGCCAGCTAGTTTCAAAGTACTTCATGATGCAGTTAGGAAAACAGATACTCTTATAGCAGATTTTGGTGAAAGTGCAATTGGAAGAGTTGCTCCTGTTGATTCTGGGTTCTGGTGGATCATTTTACTTCGTGCTTACACAAAATCTACTGGGGATTTAACTCTGTCTGAATCTGATAGTTGTCAAAAAGGAATGAAACTTATATTGACTCTATGCCTGTCAGAGGGCTTTGACACATTCCCAACTCTGCTTTGTGCTGATGGATGCAGCATGATTGATCGAAGAATGGTAAGGCTTAATTTGCAGTTGTTTCACAACATGTAATATAATTTTTTATATTAATGACGTTTATTGCATTCTATTATTTATAACCACATTTTACAATTTACGATTCATGGATATGCAAATGCAATTAATTTTGTTATTACAATTCTTAGCCTTCAATTTTGTCAAATTTTTTTAAATGTTGTGGCAACTCATTACTGATCATTACAAGAAAAAAGTTCTTTAAAAATAATTTTAAACTCTTGAATAAAGTTTTGATTCCTTGGTGGAGTTGAGGTTCAACTCATATTTGGAGTGATTTTAAAGAACTTCCATACATTATTGATTGTTTCCTTTTTCCTGCAGGGTGTTTATGGATATCCTATAGAGATTCAAGCACTTTTCTTCATGGCATTGAGATGTGCTTTGTCAATGCTTAAGCAAGATACTGCTGATGGAAAGGAGTGTGTAGAGCGAGTTGTGAAGCGCTTGCATGCCCTAAGTTTTCACATGAGAAGCTACTTTTGGCTTGACTTCCAGCAACTAAATGACATTTATCGGTACAAGACAGAGGAGTACTCACATACTGCAGTAAATAAGTTTAATGTTATTCCGGATTCAATTCCAGATTGGGTATTTGACTTTATGCCAACACGTGGTGGCTACTTTATTGGAAATGTCAGTCCGGCTCGAATGGATTTTCGATGGTTCGCTCTAGGCAACTGTGTTGCAATTCTTTCTTCTTTAGCAACTCCAGATCAGTCAATGGCAATCATGGATCTTATTGAAGCTCGATGGGATGAGTTGGTCGGTGAAATGCCACTAAAAATTAGTTACCCTGCCATAGAAAGTCATGAGTGGCGAATTGTTACTGGTTGTGATCCCAAAAATACGAGATGGAGTTACCATAATGGAGGATCTTGGCCAGGTTCTCTCTTTCTCTAATCGTGTTAAGTAGTTCAAAGTTCATTTATAACATTTATTCAGTACATAGTTCATTGACTTAGTTCTAGATTGTCTTTATAGAGAATGCCGTGTAGTCAAATTTGGTATTTATGGGTGAGATTTATTTAGTGGTTCAGTAGGGGGTGACTGTTCCTTATCAAGGTACAGACATTTTGATCATCCTTTATCATGGTGATATTGTGTGAAGTTTTGACCACTGTTCTTTTACCAAATCTATTATATCTAGTGCCACCAACATTATCTCTTACACGTCCAACTATCACCTTTTTTTGCTCAACACCCCAAGGCTTTGCTCAGAACCATTTTTTTTTGTAAACATACGAAGTTTTGATGTTCTTCTCTGACTTTCCATTTCATATTGTTTCTTGCTCGAGTGCAGTGCTCCTGTGGCTAGTAACGGCTGCTTGCATCAAGACAGGGAGACCACAAATAGCAAGACGTGCAATTGAACTTGCCGAGAGTCGTTTGCTGAAGGATGGATGGCCTGAATATTATGATGGTAAACTTGGAAGATATGTTGGCAAACAAGCAAGGAAATACCAAACATGGTCAATTGCAGGTTATCTGGTGGCCAAAATGATGCTGGAGGACCCCTCACACTTGGGGATGATTTCCCTTGAAGAAGACAAGCAAATGAAACCAGTGATTAAAAGATCATCTTCTTGGACTTGTTAAAGCATTCTGGCCACTTAAAAAGATAAATAGTAAAAAAAAAGGAAAGAGAATAGAGAAAACTTAGAAGTTGAGATATCGGTGTTTCTCATTACACGGCAGTATTCTTTGTGATTTTGTTTTTCCTAGGCCTGATTGGAAGTTTGGCTTGTGTAAAATACCTGCTGCCGAGACTGGCATCATGCTTTTCCCAAATAATTAAGACATTTCAGTTTTTGTTTCATTTGTTCCATGCTACTCTCTTGTTTGTTGCTTTGGGTTTATTAGATAAGAAAAATTATGATTCTTCATTAAATTTAAGTGTTTACTGACAATTATCAATAATCATGAAATTAAAGCTTTGGCTTTCTTTGTATACTTAAATTTGGAACTTTTACATTACGAAGAATAATTGTTGTGTGAAATTTGTACTATTTCAGTATTTTATTTGGCTCCATAAAAGATTAAGTAAATTTTTTTTTACAGTAACTATATCGAAATACTTTTGGCATACTCTTGTTAGTTATAGAATCATTTTATCCTCTTTTTAGGGTCAAATTTAGTAGGGATGTAATGTCATTTTAAATTTATTACGCATGAAATATTATGATTTTTAAAAACTTTTTTATTTAAAAATATTTTATGCAATGCTCTTTGACAATACCTTTGATTTTATTAATTAAAAACGTGGTCAAAGTTAAGGTTTCTTAAATTTAAATATTATGATTTTTGCAAACTTTTGTATCTAAATTGTATCTAGTATTTTAAGCAATGCTCTTTGACAACACCCGTATTTTTATTAATTAAAAACGTGGTTAAAGTGATTCGAATGGCTCTATTTTTTTTCTCTCAAATTTATCGGGATTTTGAAATCAACTGTGATTTTTTCAAAATATATCTCTATCTTCTTGTTTTTATTTTTCTTGGTATATTTTTACTATTTAATTTAGGGGCATGTGTATCAAGGCTCTTGAATGACCTTGGCTTTTGGATCCCATGACCTACCTGCACAAATTTTACAACTTCATCATTTGTTAATGATTTAACATTTCTTATAACATCGTTCATTTGCTGCAATACTATTGAAGAAGATAGTTTCGACCTCAATTAAGGGTTAGTTCTAAGAATAACTATTCTAATTAATTTTGTTTAATTTTTTTAAAACGTTTTTTAAATTTTATAATTATTTTAAATGTTTTTTTAAAAAAGTTTTTAAAAAACATTAATTAAAATAGTTATTTAAAAAAATTTCTTAGCTATTTTAAATATCTTTTCGTATAAATTATTTTTAAAATATATTTTTATGCAAAAGTTGTAATTTTGACATTTAATTTTCATTGATTTATATTTACGTTATAAAATATTAAAATTAAGTA